CCCCCCCCCCAGGCGCATCTGCGACCCACAGGTTCCAGCTCGCCACGTTCTCAAGCCCACAAAACCACGCGATGTGGACGATCAATCGCGATCGTATTCTTCCTTTACATTACATGCAGAAATGTGGCGTTTTTTGTTGTATCAGCCTCTTCCAGGCCAAGAGACCGGGGGAGGGGCTCGGGAAACTCGGGGGGGAGGAGGATTCAAAGGGAGATCCCGAAAGTTCTTTTGGGAGATGATGGCGCGCGGGGGGGATGCGAGGAAAGTGGGGGGGATGTGGATGTGAAGGGAAAAAGTAAAAAAAAGAAAGAAAAAAAGAAAGAGAGAGGAGGGGCGGAAGAAAAGATGGGGAGAGAGAAAAAAAAGAGAGATAAAAAGATAAAGAAGGTTGAACCGAGGTATTTCTAAAATCTACAGGGTATTACTGAAAAAAAAAGAGGGGACGTGGAGTGGTTCGAACAAAAAAAAGATACTATTTTCAAGATTTGATTCTACAATGTATGATGACGATAGAGTAAACTAACCCCTTACATTCACAACGCCTTTCCTTCAGGCGTACATCCCCAATCCCTCTCAAACGCATGCCAACCCCCAACAGGCTCCTCACACATCTTCATATCACTAACCACAAAATCATAATACCCCTCTGCAGGCAACTTCCCCTGATTAACCGTGCCCCCCATAGCAATATTAATCAGAATCCTAAAATCCTCCATTCTCCGCGTTCCCTCGGGTATGCTCCCCTTCATAACCGGTCTACCGTCAATATACCAGATCATACGGCCTCTCCAACCGGGAATTCCTTCCTCTTCGATCCACGCGAAGCCGTAGGTATGTGGTTGGCGGGCGAGATCGGGTAGGGAGGTCTTGACAACGCGGTGTTTCTGGGCGTCTTCGCCAGTGTAGGAGCCCCAGTGGAGACAGGAGTGGTTTTCTGTTTCGGCATTCCAGCTCTCAGCGATGTCGACTTCGCCGTCTGTAGGCCATTTGAAAGGGTCCGCCGGAAGCATCCAGTAGGCAGGCCAGATACCGGGGGCGGAGGGAGGGAGACAGGTTGCGGAGAGGTAGCCGCGTGGTCGGGAGAGGGTTTGGTGGGAGGTTAGGCGCGCAGAGGTCCATTTGTCGGGGCCGACCAGGGCGCGCACGATCAGGCGATTGTCATGATGGAAGGAGTTTTCGGGACTGTCGGTGTACATCTGCTTCTCGTTGTTGCCCCAACCATGGTCGCCGATTTCGTGGCGGAAGTTTTGTGATACGGGGGTGGACTTGTCAAAGGATGGCCTCCAGTATACTTTCTCGGTGTGAGGTGGGGGGATATTCTGTGGCGGCGGCGGTTGCGCAGATGGAGGACGGTTCTGAGGTATAGGCGGAGGACTGCCGGGCTGTGGTGTGTGCGGCTTACTTCCCTGTGGAATAGGTGGTGGTCCAAAGGATTGTTGCTGCGGAGGCGGTGGACCCCATTGCTGTTGTTGAGGGGCATTCCATTGCTGTTGCTGCGGAGGCGCACCCCATTGTTGATTTTGCGGCGGATACTGTGGAGGATACTGAGCGCCAGAGTACTGGCCCGGGTTTGGCGGTGGATAGCCTTGTTGAGCTTGAGGGTAGCCTTGAGGTGGTGGATAACCTTGTTGATGTTGTTGGCCCGGATAGCCCTGGCCCGGATAGCCTTGCTGATGGTGGCTACCGGACGATGGGCCCGTAAACTCGGAGAGCTTCGCCTTGCCCTTGGCTAGTAGTTTGTCAAACGCACCTGACATTTTCAATTCGATGTGGTACGTTGTAGGATGGTAAGCTGTACAACAACTTTCTGCCGGAAGCCGAGCCGCTATGACGCAAGCACGTCACCCCACGCCTGCCCCACCAGCCGACGTATCCGCACAAGATAGTAACCTACATGCTGTACACGTATCTTGTACCACTCCTCCTCAACTTCAAGGCCAGCGATACAAGGAGCCAGATAACGTTGCATCTTCGTGTGCCGACTACCCGTCTTCTGTCCAAATTACCAGTAAGACTCATTCTAAGGTCGGCTTTTACCATTGTTCCGTGACTATTATTATTCCATTGGCGCAATCGGTATCGCATTTGTATCTGAACATTATCAGTAAGATCCACTACTTTACTCGCGATGTCAAACAGACCTCGCCAATCATACACGTTACATACAGAGACTCATGCTATTTGGTCTCCGTTGCAGACATCTGATCCCAAGATGCAGGAGCAAAGACTTCAATGCGAAGAATATTGATAACAAGAAATGAATCGTCTATTCGTCTAATTCAAAACAACATAAAATACCCGTTTTGCCAATCTCCTTAGCCAAACGCAGAAAAGGGCAAAAGCACCCAAGTGGAATATATATACAACTACAGAATACTATTATCAGCACAAGTAAACGCCCCATTAACCTTTGTCGTCGCAAACGTATTCATCAACGCATCAATACTAGCATACATTCCCGGTCCTACCATGAACAGCGTCACGCACATGATGAAGATGTTGAAAACGGCAGTTGCAATCTTCTTGCCGCTGGAGCGCCACTTGCCGTTCTTGTTGAGGTCGAACCAGAAGAGGACGGTGACGCCCCAGGTGAACCAAGAGAGAAGCAAGGCGGCGGAGATGTTGAGGAGGGAGCTGAAGACTGGAATGGCGTTGGCGAGGATCCAGACGGTGATCCAGAAGAGGGATACGGAGAAGATCCAGATGAACCAGTCGGTCTTCTTGCCGACATCTGTGACGGCGACGGGATCGCGGCGGCGGTTGGAGCTGTTGTCGTTGGAGGTGATATCGACAATGGTGCCTGTTCTGTTTTGCTTGGATTTGCGGGTGCTGACTTGGCGGATAAAGTAGACGTGGAGGTAGCGTGCTGCTGTCATACCTGAGAGAATATGTCAGTATAAAACAGAACGCGCTTCTGGAAGAGTTTCTTACCGAAAATAAGACCAGTGCCCAAGAGCCCCACGAAGATAACTCCGTATGAGGCTTTGGCCATGACAGGACGAAGCGAGCCGAGCGCGGGTGATGCGACCTGCTCGCCAGATAGTGCGTACACGACTGCAGCAACAATCACATAAATGGTTGTCGTCGCGCACTTCTCGATAATGATAGCCTTGGGGTAGTCACGGGAGGGGTTCTCCATCTCCGCCAAGACTGTCGGAAATGCCTGATTACCGCTGAAAGCAAATGCAATGTTGAGGAATGCAGAAACAGCTTGTGTAAAGGTCGGGCTGCCGATAGCCTTGAGATTGAGCGCCGCTTCTGGGTTCCGTGGGCCTTGGACACCCAGAATGACCATGACCATGACGACGGCGGCGAAGATGGAGAATGTGCAAGGCCACGAGGCCCATGATACGAAGCGCATGCTTCGAGGTACGCACATGGCCCACATGACGACGGCCGCGACAACCGTAAAGGCAACCGTGCAAGTTGCGTGCTCGCTAATCGTGTTGAGACCAATGGAAATGGTGACGACAGCCGACGCGCTGATGAGCGCCATGTTGATGAGAAAGCCAATGGCAAATACAGCTTCGACCCAGGGCCCACCAAGGACGCGCCCGTAGTCAACAATGTTCAGCATGTAAGGGTATTTTCGCCAGTATTGAATCAGGTTGTAGGCAGTATACAGACTGAGCATGCCCATGCCGATAATGGCTACAATACCTGGGAAGAAACCAAGCGTGTTGAGCGCACTGGGTAATGACAGAATGCCAATTCCAATCTCGTTTGTCATGAAGATGATGACGGTTTGGGTCGTGTTCAGCTTCTTGGCTGGAGGATTGTTGGGAGAGATGCTGGCATTTCGAATATCTGCGACATCGCCGAGGTTTGTGTCGTTTTGAGATGATGCGGAGTCAAATTTCTCAGAGTCTGCTTTGGTCTTGTGTCGCAAAGGGTCTTCCGGGTCGTGTGTCGGGTCTGCTGCAAGGGTGACTGTGGGTCGCTGGGCGGATATCGGGGGAGCATCAGTAGCTTTGGGCTTGTCGTCGACATCATATGTTTGTTGCTTGGGAGGGTCGCCATGGGTAGACTGGAGAGGTTTCCCGTCCATGATTCAAGATGCAATCAAGCATTCACGCCTGCATATACAGAGTTGGAGGAATGGGTCTAACGAAGAGAAGTATGAAGGAATTGGCAAAGATTGAGGTTGAACTGGTGACGCTGGAAAGATGTGAAGATGCGAAGAAGTTATGAATACAAGTGAAGAGCGAGATTAAAGGGTACGGCGCAGTGTGGAGAGGCCCAAGGACTTGGTGAATTACGTACTACCAAGGACAGTAGCATGTCGTAGCGCGTCGCGGAAAGGTTGCATCCTCAATCGGGACTGTGCGCCAATGGCCAGATAGTGAAAATAACAGGGTCTTTCTCACGGCGTGGAGACTGGTGGTCCGTATATCCACTTAGGGCATGTGGGTCTCCCCAGAAGCCGTGCAAACGAAGCTTTTAGTAAAAGAATAACTGCTTAGTGTTGTGATTCGCAAAGTCAAATCGACCCGCACCTATTCGAAACGCTGCCCAATAGTCCCATGCAGTCGACCCCATGGTCAAGAGACGTGGTTATGCGGAGAAAGGGTCCCAGTGACGTCTGACGTTGATCTTCTTCGGGAGTGACCGCACTAGCGAGAGCCGCACACCATGATGCGCGCCGAAGCAGGCCGGCCTTGGTTTCCGAGATTGGCCGTCGTCATGGTTTGGCTGGGCAAGAGCAATACGCTGGTTGGCCGCCTTACAGGTTCAGTCTCGTGCCAGTACGACATGCAAGACTCGAGCCCGCGTACGAGAAGAGATGACTTCGGGAACGCCAGGGGCCCCAACAACTCCCGGTGCGTTATTTTCCTTCCAGAAGATGAAGCAAAGATGGGTATGACAAGGACATGTCCGATACTCGTGTGTTGCATTGGCCTTGAAGGCAAATTTTTACGCGATCAAACATTGGCGCAGGACAAACATACATGTTCACCCAGTCAGAAGTGAGGCGTCTGAGTGCCAAGGACATGTTAGTGAGGACTGGAAAGAGAGAAACAGCGACCGCTGACCTTAGGGTGGCCTTGCACCCGGTAACAGCGAACGTGGCGGATGCCAAACGTGGTACTTTTGCGGGCACGCCGAGATTCTTCCCAGAGCTTGTTAACGGTGCTAGACGAGGCAACGGCGCTGTATCAACAGGCATTGGTTCCTCAGTTTGGGATAACCCCTCAAAACACCCGGATCTTGATGGAGAAGCCAAGCGGCAGTCGCGTGAGGGAGGTATGGATCCACATTCGGAACAAAAGAATGGCGAGCTCTGGCTCTGGTTCCAAAAAAGCATCCCCTTATCGCTCTGGGGCGGGCATATTCAGGGACGTGTAGTACACGCTGGCTGCATGGTTAGCAAAGCGCGCGAATGGGAGTCGCATGTGGCAGTGTTGAGGTATTGCATGGAATGTAGTGTAGTATTTCTGTGGCGGTGGCATCCTTTCTCACGGCTCCAATGGCTCTTGAGTGGCAATCGCAAGACGTCAAGCGAGATGAAAGGCCCTTTTTCCAAACCCAGAGCCTATCAGGAGAGACGATGGCTGAAGAAGATGTGTGATGGGTATCCAGATAGGAGCTGGCTGGGGGGAGGAGTGTGAAAGACAATTTCCTTGATAGTAGTGGATGTGCAAGACGGCAGAGGAAAGAAGGTTACGCGTTCACGTGAGTCAAGCGCCAAGACGTGGATTGCCGATTTCCCGACGTCGCATATGTCGCATGCACTAAGCGCACAGCCAAAGCTACAGAAAGCCGGGCTCAATGGACAGATATGTATAGGTGTGTAAGCAGCGCCTATGCATGAGAGGGGCCAAATTCCCAGTTGAAGAGCATCGCGCCGACTGTGTGTACCGGATTTGCTGAAGAGAGCAATGCGATTGTGGGCGCAGGCGTGGCTAGGGCCTCCTGGCTTGCGTCACTCCTCTCGCACCCGTTGTTCCGGATGGGAGACGCCAAGCCGCGTGGGCCCCCAATCGTCGTCATCGCCCTCTCCCACTGGTAGACAGCAGACAAGAAACAGCAGACAGGAGGCAAGGCAGGCTGTCAAGGAGCAGCAGGCTCGGCTACTCCCTGCTTGGCATATCGATGCCCTCCCCCAGACTGACCAGACGCGAAAAGACGAAACAGAGGCGAGCTGGAACCCGTCTCCACCCTCTCTTTCCTCCCGTCACCCGCTGCCGTTGTCCGCTCCGTCTTTTTTGCCCATCGTTTGGATCGAGCGCGTATTGTTGATCGACTCAGCCTGTGGCCCCCATTTCTTTTTTTGAGCTCTGTCCGTCGTCAATATTGTCTTACCAGCCGCCATTTACGCTGTTACCTCCCAGTCGCTCTTTACTCCTCTCCACATACACCCACAATGATACCCCGGACTGCCCTATCGGCGCTTCTCTACGCAAGCACCGCCTTTGCTGTGTGCACCAAGCTCGAAGACTGCCCACAGTTTGAGTCCCTCAAGACGGACGAATGCCAGACCTTCCACCACTTCCTCGCACGCGGCTCTACCTCTCCCTACCCGGGCCACGTCATCGAGACGGTCGGCAAGGTCTGCAATGCCCTCAACACCAAGGAGAACCCAAAGGCATGCGGCTATGAGGATGTGCAGTACTGGGCCATGAACGGTGGAGAGAAGTGGTGCATATCATCGCACGAGGGTGCCGTGAACGGCGCCGAGCAGATGAGAAACTACACCCAGAGGTGTCCAGACAGCCACCTGATTGTCATGGGATTCAGTCAGGGGGGTTCCGTCATGCTCGATGTCCTTGGTGGCGGTGGCGGTCCACTCTGGGGGTGCGAGCAAAAGTCGAATCCAAGCATGAACATCACCAGTCCTCCAGGCTCAAAGAGTATGTATCGCCCGCATGATCTGCTTTTGCCTCATATGCTAACTCCTTTCCAGTCGCAGCTGCACTCGTCTTTGGTCCCACACGGCGCTCTGCGAACCAGTCTTACACCCGCGGCGGCGGCGAAATTTCAGATGGCAGTGCTCCTCGAACAGCGGAACAGCTTGCAGGACTCCAACCCTATGCTGATGCCGGTATCCTTCGTGAATACTGTCAACCAGGCGACCCCATCTGCGCTCCTCACACCGATAACAAAGACATGTCCAAGCACCTGAACTATTTCGAACGCTACAGCGACGAGGCAGCCGAATGGGTCATTGATCTCGCTAGGAAGGCCGAATCTGGCGACAGGACATCGGATGCGAAGAGCATGCTGCACCAGACCATTTCGCATCCCATTGCGAATGTCTTCATCGTTATTTTCGTGCTGTTCCTCATGTAGTAAGTCAATCTCTCACTCCATCGCAATTATACCATAGATGCGCAATAGACATTTGGGACCATGAAAGACTTTGATTTTTTTTTGTTCGCCGGTACATGCATGAATACTCATACTGGACAGTTTTGCCGTCAGGAAATTCGCTGTCTGGAAGACGACTCGCTCTCCTATGTATTCACGTGTCGACACTACCGAATCTGTTTAGGCAAATACGAGCCGCATACCCGAATCTTGCGACAAGCATCATGCATACTTGGCAATTTAGATTGTGGCGCCATGCACAGCCCGCCTTACCGGGATAACTGAGCGAAGCGCCAACTGGACCATGGATCGAGGGAAAAAATAGATTTCCAACAAGGTAATCGGAAAAAGAAGGAAAGAATAATCAACAGAGAAATTCGGGGGGCACACGCAAAAGCTTCATGTTTTGTTGTCATTTGCTCAGCGCCTAGATACCCTTCACTGTAGCATACTGTATTCTCTATAGCATACTTTATTACTAGCCGACTGGTTTCGGCGAACCAAGATATTGAATATTTGTCATGGGGTTGCTTTTTCTCAGTTTGGATCCATATATGGGAGTATGCAGCGCAATATCCATCAAATGTTGGGTTCCATATCTCCAGTACACTTCGCACTACGACCTGATTTGGCGATGGGGCCTTGGCGTAAATACTTACTTACCACTCATACGCTCTATGAAGTGTGTGCTGATAGGTCCTTGCAATGTGATTGTGCCTGTGTGCTTCTTTGCTTCTTTTTACATGGTATTGAGATGATCATGCATAGTGGAAGGATACGAAAGGAAAAGAAGGGAGAGGATGTGAGAGAGAGGCATGGATACATGAATAAGGGTAAAGTTTATAATGGCTTGGTTGTAGCAAGACCAGGTATCTGGTATTACACGTGTTGTGTTGCACGATCTACTTTACACTCTCTATCGCTTCAATCCACGTTCTGCTATCGTGCGATGACCCCGCTTCTTGCTACAATAAATGCATCGTGGGAAAGCCCGCCGTGGGGAAAAGCGAGATTCTGGAGGCGATTCTTGGAAGGTTGTCGGTAAGGTTGGCCAGAGTAACAAAGAAGTCGGGTACTGGGGCGATCAGCTGATACACGAAACAGACTTTGGATGTTATCTCGAGTCGAGGTGTGGAAGCGATAGATGGTGGTTGGCTGGAAGTCTGGGTGTATACGAGTGAACCGAACAACTGACATGAACTGGTTGCAGGTGGCGAAATTAGCAGTGTTGAAGCGAGGTCTGTCACCCGCCAATAGAAGCTTACTTATAATCCCCTCAGTTATCGCGGCTTATCACTCATCACTAATATGCTCTGAATCTAAAGAGACTCATGGTTTCAACAGCCACAATACTAGTAGTAAGCACGTAGTAGGGGGGTTAGCCACTAGCATCGGGATCTCCCACGTGCTGGCCATGGGGAAAAACCATTGTCATCATCTAGTTCCGTATGAAGACTACAATCATCGTGTTCAATTTACAAATCGCCGGATCTAAACGGCGTCAACACGAGGTGCAAGAGCACAAGGCACGGATCGGGAGTGCATGCATGGGCATCAACCTTAAAAATGACGTAAATTGGGGGTCCAAGAGGTCAGCAGAGGCACAGTCGATTGCCTGAAGCGTGCACGCAATCTCTACACACGAGTCATGGTGAGTGAATAAGCATGGCTCGGGACTAGCAGAGAGGGGAAAGTCTTTGTGTTCACCATCTAGCGACAACTTTATGCATGGCTTGCAAAGAGTCGCGCGGAGAAGGAGTCGGTCGGAAATTTCTTTAGTCCGCATGCATGTACCCTGAGAGGCTAGCTGAATGCTCTGCGCACTGCTAGTAAGTAAGCCTAATGGCGCTTGAATGGACTCATGGATGAGGCCCTTGTCCTGAGCAGCATCTTTGCAGGAACTACATGTAAGTATACCAGATATGCTATTGTGTGGTTCTTGTTGCGTCAGGGCATATGGGTTTGGAGAATGCAACACAACTGACACCCGGTCTTCGCGCACGCAAGGTGTCACGTCACATATGTCGATAAGATCAAGCATCACGGGTGGAGATGATATGGTTGATCAGGGGTAACGCACGGACGCGCTGCCCCAGTCACCCTTGCATAATAGCATGCACATCTACAACTTCATTTGCCCATTCCGTTTCATAAACAATTCAAATGGCTTAGTCCATGATCCTCTAGGTCCAAGAAGCGTGCACATAATACCTACCAAGGGCCCCGGATTCCATGCCCGCGGTTTTCCTAGCTTTCACTCAAGTCGCCCGCCCACCTCCTACTATTCAATCATCCCTACGCTTCCACGCGTCGGAGGGAGAGCAGTCATGGCCTTTGTCGCTGCCTTGTCCGATTTCTTTAGTTGCGGTAGGACGAGAAAGGCGCGCGAGCCTCCATTAGACCCCAACGACGACACAACCTCCGAACCTGTCCCGCATGAAACTACTACACCTTCACTTGCCCTCCCACCCATTGACGAAAAAGCAACTTTGGACGTCCATGTCCGCGAACCCTCCGAGAAGGCGGGAGATGCCCGTCGCATCCCTAGCACGCAACAGCCAGATGTTCGACCGACATCTAACAGCCGCCACCATGATTCGGCAGAAGATAACATGGACATGTTTGTAGTACAAGAGAAGGCCAAACCAAGCGCTGGATGGGTTGTTGAGCAACGAGTCCTTGTCACCACCATGCCCTCCGCTGTCACGGAAGAAGCAGAGAAGACTGCATCCGTGCCTGAACCAGAACCAGAGTCTGAGACCACTATCATCACCCCACCTGTTCGCTGTGCGACTCCTGAGCAGGAGCCCTGGAACTCTACACCCGTTGCTCGCTCAGCAACACCTGAGCTTGCACCTGAGCCAGAGGTCTCCATCGTGACCCCCACCGTCCGACCAGTAACACCTGAGCCGGAATCTGCGGACATTGCGTCCGTCCGTAGTGCGACACCCGAGATTGAGCCCATCGCTCCCCAACTCGCCATTCCTGAACCGGAGGAATTCTCCTTCCTGGCATTTGAGGAACTGATGCCATCTATCCCGGAACCCGAAATTGTGGTCCGGCAACTCCCGGCCGCTAGCAAGAGGACTACACCCGTGACCTTCCTCAACATGCCTCCTGGTACGTTCATCTCTTGATTATGTCATTGTGAAAAAGATGCTAACAGTACGCAGAGGTACGAAACAAGATCTACGAGCAGATGAACGAGGATGGCCCCATCAGGATGTGCCGCTTTGACGACCCTGCCTTGGTGCTTCGTGACGGTGAATCTGCGCGTGCGCAGCGCCGTCAATTCTACAACCTTACCCAAGTGTGCCGGAAGATCCGCAACGAGTTCCTGCCTGTATACGCGCGCAAGACCGAGTACATCATCGACCTCTGGGGCCAGAGGGCCAACCTTTCCAAGGTAGAGACCCTCAATGCCAAGGTTTCCATGGACGTCGATGCTGCCTGCTTCGACATGGAGCCCATTGACCTCCTCCCCCTTCTCCGATGCCTCGTCCGCGCCGGCCGAACCGACTGCCGTTTCACCTCAACCGAGGGCGTTGTATTCCGTAGCATCTCCGAAATCGTCGACGAGCTCAACAAGCTCCTCCCTGCCGCCAACGGCAGCAACAAGAACTGGCTCGAGGCTATCAACGGACCCATGAAGAGGATCGATCTCCACCTCTTCCCCCACGACGACATCCGTCAGTACTACCGCTTCCGTGGTGCCGAGCCTCTCGTCCGCGTCGTATACCCATCTGCCAAGAGCGAGGAGTGGATGAAGCGCGCTTCCAAGTCACAAGAGTACGAGGCCTACCTGAGGAAAACCGGTCTCGACAAGTTCGCCATGCACGTCGTTATTGGCCACGCTTCTCGCCGTACCACCAACGAAGGCCGTTTGCCTCTTGACTGGCGCATGAGCTACCAGCTACGTCAATCCATGGACCGCGCTCCCCGCCTCTCCATGGAGATTGCAGCAGCTCGCATGTCGATTGACCGTTCGCCCCGCAGGTAAATATGTTTGATGAAAAGTTTTAGCGTAAAGTGCGTGTTCATAACTCTTTCGATACGGCGTTTTTTTTCCTTTTTTTCTCTTCACGATTAAGATTTCATGTATGAGTTCTGGCAAACTACGGTCTAGCCGAACAGGATACGAGGGAGGTTCTTCAGGTTGCGCAACACATACCCCAATTTTTTTTTAGCTTGTAATGTTTTTCCAGAGGGAAAGAAGAAGAAGAAGGGAAGAGGAAACGTTTGCTCATTTTGCGCAAGTGGTGCAGATTGAACGGTTTCCATGAGCTTGATGGCTTTTTGTTGGAAGATTGCTAGTACAGGACCAAATGTCCTTGTTCGCATCTCTCCATGCCTTTTAATGTTAATTTCTTTTTAACGCCCTAAAAGAACACATCTTTTTTTGCATCCCCATCCCGTTTGTGAAGCTTCATCTCTTGGCTTTTTGTGACTCGGGGGGGTTGCGTTCGTCCAAGCGCACGGATGAACAGGGGCCGCCATGCCATACCTGTAATGTGCCTTTTTTAGCTCACCAACGGTGTGTTTTAGGAAGCTACCTAACATGGGAAAGTTGATTAACATGGGAGAAGACAAAAGGGTAACAATTCATTTCAACCCTAGAAAGAAAGAATCCCGACAAGACCCAAATCCCCCCCAAGGAACTCGCAGCGGACAAGATCTACTCCGAAAAAAAAGGCCCCAAAGCACACACATACATACATACACAGTACACACACCTTCTCTCCTCTCCACTCCACTCCCATGCAAAAGCACGCCACGTGCACCTTGGCAAAGCATCCTATTCCCGCATTTTCCCCCCCGAATTCCCTTATCGAAAAAAAAAGATAATCCAGCAATCAATCTAAATTATACCCAGCCCTCTTATGTTCTCCCGAAAGCGGGGGTGGGGGGGAGAGAGAGACTTGGGCTACTTACTACCTGCCCGTTCCGTCCTTTTGGTCCGATCTCTCTCTCTCACACACACGCACATGACCAAGTCGCCTGGCACCCACTAACCCTACACAGTAAACCAAGTAAGTATATTTGCGAATCCTTTGGGAAATGAAAGTAAAAAGGGTCTAAGAGGGTAAGGGTAAGGTGCAAATGAAAAGTCGAGCTCGATCCTGGCTGGGGCGCGCGCCATGCGACGCGGGCGCGGCGAGGCGAAAAAACCATTTGACATGTAAGGAGAAACACCCCCCCACCAATCATAAGTATGTAGTGTCGTTGTGATGATGATGGTGCTTGTTCAGACGGTGTTTTAAGGGGGGAAAAAAGCCCCTCTTGTTTGTGGGTATTTTTCCTTTTCCGTCCATATGTGCCTTTTGGACGTGTTGTGGGGTTCCCTCGTACTTTGTGCAAAGAGTTGACATATCCTTGTATAAGTATGGGCTTACATAGTACAGAAGAGTTACGGTGGATAGGTAGCGTAAAGTTCCCCTCCCCCCCCTTCCCCCCCTCCAATCTTTTTTAGGCAGGCCTGGGTATGAAGGTAGCTTGGCATGGGGCTAAAAAGATGGTGGTGCGGGTAATGAAGGTCGTGTTGTGGATATAGTAGAGCTTGGGGAGGAGAGTACAAAGGTGGTGGCGCGGCCCGTAAAAGGTAGATATGTGCTGCTCGCTCGATTCTTTTTTTTGAGGGCTACTGGATTGGCGGTTTTTTTTGGCCTGAGTATCCCTAGGCCTTGTTATTCGCTCTCTCGATCTCGCTCTCTGTTGGCTGCAGCCCAATCGAGATGCGTTGTCTCGCCGCCCTCACGGCGTTGCTTCTTGCGCCGACCGCTGTCTTTGCGGCTTGGGGCTGGACGGATGATGGGAAGAACTATGTTATTGATACTAACGCTAACCTGGTGGTCAAAGTCAGCAAGTCCAACGCTGACATGACTTCGATCAAGTACCGTGGCGTCGAGTACAATGGTCAGAATGGAAAGAACTCGCACGTGGAGTCTGGACTTGCACCCGGCACTGTCACCATCAAGCAGTACACTTCCCCGGCCAACATTATCAAAGTTACCATGAAAGTTGGGACCCTGACTCATACACTCGTCTTTCGCTATGGCAACCCGAACGTGTACATTTTTATGAATAAGAGGGATACGAGCATCACCGTTTCACGTTATATTGTCCGCATCCCTGCAAACATCTTCACGAACAACCCAAACGAGGATACTGATTGGGTTCCCAACAATGCACCTGCTATCGAGTCTGGTGATATCAACGGCGTCAACGGTCAGACATGGTCGAAGCATTACTCTGGAAAAAAGTATGGTCGCACTATCGACTACGACTATGTCGGCTACACCAACGCCAACGTTGGCATGTACCTGATCCGCTCAAATCACGAAAAGGCGTCTGGAGGTCCTTTCTTCAGAAGTCTCATACGCCGTGGTGGTGACGGCGGACCGGATCTCTACGATATTTACCAGTACAACATGGGTAAGTTGAATTTCACACTCCATTCATCCAGAACTTCACTGATCGATCACAGGCCACACCGACCCCATGCGACTTGGCCTGCAAGGCCCTTCAGTCCTTCACTTCACCGACAACGGTGCAGCACCCAACCACAACCTCTTTGCCCGCAACGCCAACTGGGACTGGTTCGACTCCCTCGAAATTGAAGACTGGGTTCCCGCCAGCCGCCGCGGCGCCGTCGCGGGTGTCGGCCTCGCCAACATGAAGAGCGGCTTCCAGTACGTCGTGGGCCTGAAAAATGACCAAGCCCAATACTGGACCATTGCAACCGGCGCCTGGCGCATCGGCAACGCCTTGCCTGGCACTTATACTCTGACCGTCTACAAAGGCGTAAGTTCTGAATTCCCCCTCTTCACCACCCCCCAAAAAACCCCCTAACATTTTTTTTTGCGTAGGAACTCGAAGTCCACACCAGCACCGTAACCATCTCGGCCGGCTCCACCGCAACCCGCAACACCATCACCCTCGTCGACCCCAACGACACCCCCGCCATCTGGCGCATCGGCGACTGGGACGGCACTCCGCGCGGCCTCCTCAACTTCCAAGACACCCCCATGAAACCCACCTACATGCACCCCTCCGACTCCCGCTTGGCAAAATGGGACGCAGGCAACTTCATCATCGGTACCACCCCCATCTCCAGCTTCCCCGCGTACATCTGGAAGGACATCAACAACGACCACCTCGTCTACTTCCGCCTCACCGACGCCCAACTCGCGCGGCCCGCGAAGATTAGGCTGGGTGTGACGCAGGGCCAGGCGGGGGGCAGACCGACCGTGTCGGTGAATGCGTGGGCTGCCAAGTTACCCACAGATAAGGGGCAAGGGGATACGAGGAGTCTGACTGTGGGGACGTATCGTGGGAATAATTATGTCTATGAGTTTGAGGTCCCGGCGAGTGCGTGGGTGGCGAGTGCGAGGGAGTATCAGATTCTCAAGATTACGGTTATATCGGGGAAGACGGCCGCTGGGTATTTGAGTCCGGCGGTGAGTTTTGATGCGCTTGAGTTGGTGGGGTTGTAAGTTGTGGGTTGATGGGTGGGAAAGCCGGGGAGGGGGATTGCTTTGATTTCGTCTGTATATAGTTGAGGGGGGTGTTGTGTACATAATGTTGGTTTGTACGGGGTGGAGAACAGGAAATGTTCATACTATGGCAAGTCTTATCGACTTTTTTTTTTCTTTCGATCGATATACGAAGCAGATTAGTATCTGGTATTCGAAGCTACCGTCCACTTCGTTAAACATAAGCCATGGGCAAAGAAGATCTAGACTTCTACACAGCGCACATGTGAATACGAACAATACGAAACTCTAAATTACTCGAAAACCCGCTAAATAACTATTTACAATCATGCTAATCACACGTGATAATATAGTAGCAAATTATCCCAACGCCCGCGTCATCATTTTTAGTTCGCTTCAAAACATCTTTAAACCCCCGCTTTCAATGCAAGCCTTACGCAACCCCTACACTCATATCCTCTGTATCTCCTGAGACCAACTCTGCACCGTCTGTCCCTCAGGAAACATACCATGGACGACCTTACCAGTCTTCGTATCGTAATGCGCACCTGGAGGTAGTTGCATGGACATGACACTGGGACTGGCACCAGAATTGCCATTCTGTCTCGGGTCAAGAGACTGTCCACCACCTTCATTCATTTCCGGGCGCTGAGGCTGGGAATTCGACCTCATGCGGAGATTCGAGTGGTTGTAGGGACTGGACACACGAGTGTCGGGTTGGAAGGTTGCTGCGCGGTGTGGTTCGGAAGAAGGGGGCTGCCATTGGCTTCGTCCCGTTGATGTGTCGACGTAGTACCATCGCTGGCTATGTGAATCATAGTTTTGGATCCAGCCGGCTGGTAACACGGATCCAGGGGGCGGGTGATGTTGGTCATGAGGGACCGGGCTTCCGGGATATCCTCCTTGTGATGACATACGCCCATGCTGTCGTGATTGGCTCATTTGATGATACCCATTTGCGCGAGGCGGTGATCTGTTGCCGCGCTTTTGTTGCTCGAACTTTTGGATTTGTTTTGTGATGTAGTCGTCTGCGCGTTGAAGGTAGGCGTCGAATGCCATTTTAGCGTAAGATCTCGGTGCTAACTCGATGTGAGGCTTGATTGATCGATTGGTATATTAAGAAAAGGGCGCTGGACCCAAAGTAGTAATTTTTGATCGAGAAGGGCGTTTCACAGCCACATCTCGGTGGGAAGACTACTGCCATATATAATGGCTTCCGGCCCTTTCCCCACGGCATGCGTCAGCCACTTTTTAGCCACATGGAGCCAACAGCACTAAACACTTCACAAAGCTTGACTGGTCGCCCCATCACTTTGCAGTAATTTTGCAAGCGGCGCCACATTTTTCCCTGGATTAGTTTGGCTGGGATGGCGCATGCAAATGTCCGATTGGTGCAGAGGGGGGTCCGTACGGAAGAAACGGGATTGTGGCTCTTGTCATGTGGCTTTAAGGCCCACTAGCTTGCCGATTTCCGTGGCGCATGCGAGCAGGCGTGGTGCCCACTACTAGCGTTGTTACAGACCGCTGCATGAACAACTGGTTTGAGTTAATAATCCATGTGCATACTTTGTTGTTGAATTCAAAAAAGTCGTAGTCAAGTCTTTATCGGTGTCTTGTCGGCGGTCCTTTCATGATTCCGCCTCGGTGTCTCATTACGAATCCCCGACAGAATAAATATAGCCCAATGATAACGGAAGAAGAACGAGAAGGAAATATCACGCACATGACACCCAGGCCGAAGGAATCCGGCGCCCCCACCACCCCCAGAGCCGCATTTGTCGGTCAGCGATACCCAAACAGCTGTCCTCTTCATGCCTGGCAATAGCTGCCGGAACACCGTTTGTGAGATTGGGTTTCAAGGCAAGGAACACAAGTACAGAGAAGCACAAATTGAGAAAGCTTATCGGCAAACTCGGTTTGAGCGATTGTTCAATGCCATCGTTACTTGATATGTGTTCGACCATACTGCCTGTCGCAAAGGTGGCGCTGACCCGGGTACCAGGTTATTCTCTCGCCGTGTAATCGTATTCGATGGACGGCGCTGATGACGGCAGAATTACATATCCCAGGCATTGATGAAGTCTTTTGTAACGTTTGAAGGAAGACGAGTGAACGTTCTTTACCTGTAACTGCCCAGGGAGACTCTTTTCTTTTGATGTGTTCAGTTTGAACGGTGTGACTGGCGTTATCATTTCGCATCACTGCTTTAAATTGTCGATCAAGATGTAGCCACACATTCATCAGCCGACTCATTGCTTTTGTCCATTCGTATTCCGGACCGTCGCTGCCGTACGTCGGCTCCCACCTTCGACATGATCTGCTGTGTGTTAAGCAGCGGAACCAATGAAGACACTCTGATCCTCAACCAAGAGAAAGGCAAAGCTCCTCCGCACGAAATGGTATCCTTCGTGCAGTCGTGACGTCGAAGCACCCGCATAAGCGGTAACTACATCAGAGACTTTGGGCGACCAATCACTCTCCGACAATGACCGCTTGTCGCGCTCGCTACCTCGTGAGTTTGCGCCTGCATGGAACGAGCGGAAGCCAGTCTCAAATCGTCAGCGTTCGTAAGTTTGAAGAAACCTCGACTTCATTCGCATTGCCGTTGCCTGCCTCACAAGTCCATTAGGTCACGAATATGACATCAACGTCACGTGGATTCGCGGATGTGATTGGGTCAAACATAAGATGATGTTGTTGGGCCTCCCAAGCCCAAGCAAAGCTACTTTTAATCCAATAGAAAAAGAATGGCCACTCGCACAGGCGTATCACACAAATCACTTTGATACCTTTATGAAGTCGCGACGGAGCCACTTTGGCGCACCCCGTCTGACAAAGATCATGTCGTTTTCCGTGTCGAGTCCCAACGCACTGAACCATCCGAGCGCTTCCTCTGGTACATGCGGTAGCCTGGTGACGGATATCGCACATTGTTTGATCCAGGGAGTCGGGCACTTAGGATCCAGGACCAGGCGCATTCCGAACACACTCGGTTCTTTTAATTCGACACTCTTGAATTCGTTGTTGACTGCAGCCCTCCATTCTGGTTCATAGCCAAGGAACAATTCGTTGAAAAGTGCGCCACCTTTGCCATTAAACTCAAAGTCTATGCCAGGCGTATTGAAGAGCCTGGCCAGAAGAGGCCGGATTTCGATGGGTGTGTCATATTTGCCACGTCGCTCTACGTCGGTGCGAATCGTAAGCCAAGCGACAATGTTTTCGCGATCGATGACACTTGATCCAGAAGTTGGGTAAATGACATCGAGGTAGTCCTGCGCATCACGGATGTGTACTGAAATGGCGCGATCCTTCAGGTACAATGGACGAAACTCCTTCCGCGTTTGGCGAGAGACCTGCGTCAAACTGTAGTAACCACGCGCTGCCCAGAAAGCATCACTTGTAGTTGTTGTGCTGCGTCGGCTCACTTCCTTTTCGACGAGACGGTCCTTGTCATATGCGCAAATTGCATATATTCTGTTGCGCACCTCTACGCGCCTGTAAGCTGAGAACGCATCATGCCGAGGTTGTTTGCTGTACCTAGCGGAAGGTCGGGAAAGCCCGCAAACTTCTTGTGATTAATGGTCGAAGGGTTGGACGACATAGTGACACTCATTTTGCTCGAACTGTCGCCTTTTGCGATGCGCAAAGATTCTCTTGGGTTTTGCGAAGATTAAGAAGTGATGCGGAAAGGGAGGCATATTGAGGAAGGTGAACAGTGGAGAATCCTCTCCCTAACCTGATTAGGCAGGAGGCAATCGGGCGCCGTAAGAAAGATACGTAATTTTGTTGCCTCCTGAATCACCAATAATAGTTTCCTTCTTCTACATCGTGTCCGGACGAAAATAACCTGTTTGCTGAGTGGTGAGAAATTGCATTTGTCGTGCGTTGTTCGCCATCATTTCTCGGACACCTACAAGGAAGCCATTGTGTTGGTGGCATAACGTGCGATCAGTCATAGGCCACCTACCTCGTATCTTATAGATTGATGATTTATGTCGCCCGACAGCTGGATAGCTTCTGAAGCAATATAGCCGCAGAATCCTGCAAATAAGTGAATTATACCTACGGAGCATCTAGCCAAAAGATGGCCATGCCGCTAGGATCTGACATTTGGTTAGGAATGTCATATGTCCAATCAACAACTGAGTTTTGTTCCATTCTCACTACTCAACATTTTTCTTATTTTATTTTCCATCGCCTGCCGTTTCCTCGCACTAGACCGTAGGCGCAACTTGATGATCTGACACAACAGCGGCTCTTCGTTATGGAACGTTCGATTCAAAACTTACTGGTTCCACAATGCTGAGATGTTTAAGATCGACGGCTTCATGTCTGATGGTATGGGATATGCTCAAGCCATCTGGAGAAAACTGCACTATGAGAATGTGCGCCACGATCTTGTTATGCGAAAAGTCGCTTGAGCCTAGGAAGGTACTTTGGCTCAAGTGTGTGGAAGAACAGGGAGAGAACCGCCTCCTTAACCTGACATTCATTTTCGCAATTAGCAGCGTCTCTAGAGTAAACGGAAGGGTCATACTGTGCTACTTTTTGCATTTGGCTATTGCTATGAACCAACCCGCAAGTACCTGATGCAAGAGCTGGGGACACGATGTCCCTCTTGGTTGCGAAGTTACCTCTTCATCCCCATCATGTTTGCTCAATCACTCAATTTTTTCTCAGTAATACCATAGCCATAGAATCGTTACCTTGACATTCGTACCATAACCTCCACCAACCCTACTCAAACGACAACTGACATGGAAGGAGCACCTGCCAGGTCTTCAAATCCCCGCGGGCTAGTGGATTCGAAGAGTCCAACAAGAACACTGGTACCAAAGGAAGATGAAGCGCAGTGTGCACCATCAGAACAGTCTCTATTACTACAGCGGTCTCCATCACCAGAGCACTCTCCATTACAAGAGGAGTCTCCATATCCAGAACAGTATGCACTATCGCCAGAACAGTATGCACCGCCAGAGCAGTCTCCACACCCAGAGCAACCCCTGTTACCAGAAGAGTCTCTGTCACCAAAACAACGTGAAACAGTAGAACAGTCTCCATTACTAGAGGAGCCTTTGTCACCAGGGCATTCACCGCTTGTAGGGCAATCTTTACCAGCAAAGCCTGCTTCATCGTCAAAGCAGTGTGCGCCACTAGAGCATTCTTTATCACCAAAGCAGCCTTCATTACCACAATTTTTTCCGTTACCAGAGGTCTCGTCATCGCCAGAGCTTTCCCCGCTACCAGAGTATATTTCATTCCGGGACCGGGTTCCATCGCCCGAACAATGTGCACCGTTAGAGCCATCTCCACCAGTAGAGCAAACTTCCTCGCCAGAGCAGACTTCCTCGCCGCCAGAACAATCTGAATCACCAGAGCAACCTCTACAGTTAATTCTGTCTCCATCACACAATTTGTTTTACTCACCCGAACAACTGTCGTCCCTAGAGGCGTCTCCATCAATCAACATTTCAGAGCCCTCAAACCCACCGTGGCCATCCGAGCTACCATCTTCAGCAGGCCTATCTCCTGCAGAAGAAGACCGCTCATCTTCACTAGGCTTCTCCCTATCACCCATCGAATACACCTTGCGCGACCAGCCCATCCCCTCGTGCCCATCCCCCTGCGTCCTCCCCTCTCCCGCCATCCCCTCCTCCGAACTCCTCAGCCTCGACCCCTTCTCCTCCCCCGCCCCCAAAACCGCCCTCGAGAAGCTCTTCGAATGGCCCATTCCCGCCCCCATTGTCTCCATGCTCAGGATAGACGATAAAACCGGAGAATTCTACCTCACCCACGCTGACCTTATCGCCTACCTGCACAACCACCGCGAAGACACAAACATCTTCGTCCCACCCTTCATCCCCGACCCGGACAACGTCCCCACCATAACAATCGATCTCTCGGATCTACCCTCCATCTCTGATCCTTTACCCTCAATCGATATCCTCCCCTACCTCCTCATCTACACCCGCTGCCCGGACGTTACATTCTGCACGCGCGGGCCCCCCATCGTACACGACCGCATCTTCAAGTTCTTCACCGAGCTCGTTATCCCGCGGCGCGCCTTCTGGACCCGGTGTATTGCCGATAACTTGGGAATAAGGGAAGTCAGGGTTTTTTGTGAGTGGGAGAGGACGGTGGATATTGTGTTGGATCCCGGGAGTAGGTGGGCGAGAGACTGGAATTGTGTGCCGTGGATTGAGTGGGAGAAGGTTAGCAAGGTGAGGGTTTTTACGCTTTGTCTGGGGTTGAATGTTAATAGGGCGTTTGGGTGGGAGGGGCATGTTGTTGTGGGGAGTGTGGAGGGGTAGGGAGTTGGGGATGCTGGAGGAACAGGTGTGGGGTGAGTGGTAAGCAAGTGGGTTGGTTGGGATTTGCGTACGCAGAGTTTGGGTGTTTAGCAATCGCTTTATGGTAGGTCCTCAAGCTGGCTCGTCGAGTTCAGGATTTGGCTGTTGTTCATGGGCTATGATAACGTGGTGACTGGTTGAAATGACCGATGACAGTCGAGACTAAAAACGTCTTATGCATCATCCCGGCAGGCCGCTAGACTCGTAATTACCTGGCTCTTAGAGGTTGTATCTCAAGAGAGCTTTTAAATATGAAAACATCACCAAATTGCAGTTAAGGTCCGTTTCTGCTAGAGAATACTGCCTGGCGTCATCCTGTTTTCCGAAGCTAGGATTAGTTTATATGAAGTCATTTCCCTAGAACAACACAAAAGATTGTTACATCAATTAGCTGCCCGTATCAATCAGCATCATCTCGATGCCCCTGTGCGCATCCCTAGATCACTGTACCACAGATAGGACGTCTGGTAACCCATATATTCCTTGTCAAGCCCCACGTGCCCTGAGACTGGTGTTTAAGCCAGTTGGTACTGTCCACACCAGACAACTTATTTACGCAAACTTTCCATCCTAGTACCTTCAATGAGACCTATCCCATCCCTGTATCCCGTATTTACATCTGAACCGATGCTAGTTTTGCTACCCGAAAGATACCAATGGATCTCTTCCTGCAACATGTTCGCTGTACATCCACCTGAGAACCCATGAAACATAGGGGCGACCCTCAACAGGCAGATTCGTCTTAAATGACGTGAGCCATTGCTGCGCACGATTCCGTCTATGTAGATCATCGGCGGATATAGGCTCGGATTTATCTCCAGTGACTCGAATACAGTTCCAGACCTGAGGGAGGTAACTATTGATGCGCATACGCAGCTGAATAGAGACTTGAGGGACGAAAAACTCAGTGTGAGGCAAAACTGGAGGCTGCCATGCCGATTGAGATACCAATTGTGAGGGATGATTGTCTTCAACCACTTGTGCTTGGGGTTGTGCTGATTGCTGGTGCAAGGACTGTGTACTCGTAGGGCGCAACCCTTCATCAGTTTTTTCAAGTTGGTTGTGAGCAGGTGTACAAGGAGGCGGTTGTTGGCCTCTACTTACCTCTAAGGTTTTGACTTGGTGAAGAACTCTTGTACTGAAGCCGCGGATGTCCGTAAGCGCCTTGGCCTTTTTCCCCGTATCGGTAGAATTGTTCGCAATACACCAGAGCCCAGAGAGATAGTGTCTGAACTGGTTGCGCCTCTCGAGTTCGATGCACTGATATCGCGGGTCATGGACTACGTCATCTGGCTGAAGCATAACCACCTGCGGTGCTTGTTCTAGAGAAAACGGATTACCCAGTTGCTCCGGGCCAACGGCAGAGTGCTAAGTGTAGTGGTTATTTCGAGACGACTAGAGGAAGATAGCAAAGGTAAACTTACTAGTTGCATCTGAGTTGGTATACAGGCCTGCTGTCGGCTTTGTTCTTGGACTTCTGGAAGAGTGCGAGGATGCTGCAGAAAAATCGGCGGATCGATTAGTGTCCTCGTCTTGTTGCTACTGTCGTTTCCGAGGTGGTCACCGGACTCCCTTCTATGCAATGCATATTGACCTCCAGGAAGAGTATTCGTTTCCAGGTCAGATCTAGTCAGTGCTCGAGGTATCTGAGATCGTGATTGCACGTTGCGAGTATACTGGATCGGTTGTGGCATTGGCGCTGGATAGAGCACAGGATGCAGACCAGGCTCTTGAGTGACTACGAGGCGTAGATCTGGGCCAAGAAGATAGTCGCTATATGCTGGAAAGGTGTCGCAGTCGCGCTGCCACTCCTCCCAGTTCTCATCATGGAAAGGCATAGCTGCTGTAAGCGGGCCTCGCTCCTAGCAGATGGCGTTGGTGTGGTGGCAACAGAAAAAGTTGGTACGCATGATGAGAAAGCCCCGGATGGGAGCGCCTTATAAGGTCGATTGAAGAGCAGAGTTCAAGTGAAAGAGAATGGAGGGGTGAGAGTGAGAAGTAAAGAAGACGTGCGCAACGCACCTTCCGCAGCCGGGTGACCAAAGCCGTTTAAGGTGTGAGTGTCAATGAATGAAAGCACCATACATCTTCCAGCTATCTAGCATAAGGGCAATAGGCACGACACCTCGCGTATGAGCAGGTGAGCCTGCCATAGCGGGCGGTCTATCTTTTTTTTAGGAACCGGCAGCCATTCACTACGAATTCAAGATACTCTAGAAAGCAAACACACCTTTCAAAAGGACAAACATCTCGCTTGTGGCGATTTCCACATTCACGCAATCTCATATACAATGGTGAAGTCAAGTCACTGGCACGATGCAGGCACGATCTCTGTCATAGTGATAGTTAATTCCTAGTCTAATTAACTTGATTGTTGGTATTCACCTATGCAGAAGAGGCGTGCCATGGATAGATTCTGCGCGTATGGGTTGAATGATATGTCCTAAGCGGGAAAACAACGGGCACAAAGACAAGAACCAAGACAAGACTAAAGTCATGGCGAAGCCATGTGCATCAACCGTAGAGTTTGCTGTACCCTTCTGTGTAGGCATGTGACAGCATGAGGAGCAGCGTTGTTCTCAACAAGGGATCAATGAAGTTACAATTGGCCCGTCCCTTAACTGAGCCTCAACTGTCTCCTAGGATGGTCTCGATGTAGATTTGGGGAATCTTGAAAGATTGCCGAATGTAAACCGAAAGACAGCCGAGCAGCCATCCAGCATCCTCTCCAGGCAACTTCGGCGAAACCAAGATCCGATGCCCCAAGAAATGACGCCGGATTTCCCACGACCCCCGCCATTCTCGTGTAGATCTTTGAACATTGCGCCACAGTCATTACTGCTACCGCGACTTCCCCTCTTTCGCGCAATCTTCACCATCGGAGTACAAATTTCGCCCTGCAATGGCGGACCCATTGCCAGCACCCGAACCCGAAACCCTCGAAGCACTTCAGTCCCGACACCGCAAAGAACAACGCGATCTTGTCTCACGTACGACACAAAAGAAGAAACAAGCGAGTAAAAAAACGCGAAAAGGCGTCAACGAAGAATGTGAACGATTAGAGAGGGAATTGAAAGAGCGACATGAGCATGAGCTTGCCATTCTAAACGGAGATGCTGTACAAGAGGAAAACAACGACAACGAACCACCTTCAGAAGACGAGACACAGGACGTGCAGGAGGATATAGAAAAACTTACAATTAATGGAAAGAGTGCCGAGGACAAGGAAAATAGTACCACAGAAAACAATGCTGGGCCCAGGGCAAAGAAGCCGAATCGCGCCAAAGCCCGCCTTGCTCGTCGGGCCGCTGAGCAAGCTTCCATGATTGCCGATGCCGAGCGCGAAGCTGCCAACGCACCAAACCCACGGGAACTCGAGCGAGAACGCATGGCAACGCAATTAGAGAAGCACAGCCTTGCGCTCCATGAGATACGGGCGGATGGACATTGTTTATATGCTGCCGTGGCAGACCAGTTGCAGACAAGAGAGTTAGGATTGCAACCGAGAATAGCTATCACAACGATTGGAAAAGATGAAAAGAGTGCGACTGACAAAATAGAAGGCTACAAGGTGGTCCGACATGCAGCGGCAGATTGGATACAAGGTCACGCCGATGACTTTGCAGGGTTCATGGAAGACCCACTGCCTGAGCACGTTCGTAAGATTAGAGAAACCGGTGAATGGGGTGGCCACCTAGAGCTTCTTGCGTTGGCTAGGTCATACGGGTTAAGGATTTGTGTGCTGCACAGCGACGGAAGAGTGGACAAGATCGAAGCCGAAGACGATGTCACAGAAAAGAAGGAGATTTGGTTGGGTTACTATAAACACAGTCATGGATTGGGAGAACACTACAACTCACTGCGCGTGGCTGGTTGAACAACATCCAGCAGGACCAGTACACCAGCAGCACACCTGATGTGTTCAATGCCACCTTTGTTCCTCTGGACAATCTGCTTTATGTCGCCACATACTCACACAGTCCCTTACAAGACCTTGGATGACGCCGATCTCATGTGTCCGTCTGGGAGTAAAATGCGCAATTTTAACTAGCGCATTGTCTGTCTCTTCTCGCTCTGTCTTGGTCACCACGCCCTGATCATCATACAAAATACCCCGACCTGGCTGTTTGAGAAGCTCTGTATGTACAAGAGGTGGCAGCGACCATGGCGGTCCACCCGATTTTACAGGCTTATGGGTTGGAAACTCAAGACAAATCAGGACGCCCCCGGTGCCTGTGTTGTTTGAGGATGACTGGCGGAGAAGCTCAGTCATACGCGACGCCCACTTGGGACGGAGCGAGGGTGGGAGAGCACACAGGAACTGTGCATGGTGTCAGACCCATTAAAAAACGACGGGGGTGTTACAGTTAGCACTTACAGTATTGTCATAGATGATATCGAAGCCCGCATCTCCATCCCATCCATCAACGTCCTTGAGCCAAGCATCGTCAAAGAAGTCACCACAGACAACCTTCATCGCTCCTCTTCCTATCTTCTCATCCTTGATGGCGTATTCACCCTCCAGGGGCCCTTTTCCGGGATCTGCTAGATATTTCCGCGCAGCTTCAGCCGCGTGCGAGGACACCTCCAGTCCGTAAGCATCGTAACCATAGGCCGCAAACAAAGCCACGTCGTATCCTTTTCCACACCCTGGCACTAACGCCCTCCTCCTCTTTCCGTCTTCCCTCAGTGGTCCGGGTAGAGATACGTAACCTGCTGACTCGCTGTTTGGTGGGGGTGCACCCAATGATGGATTGGGGTCTGGAGACGAGATAGGACGAGATCGCTCGCTAAGAACGTCTATCAGCGCGGGATTGGCATGACCCCGGTCCCATGGCAGGAATGTAGCCTCTCGCCAGAGGTCGTCCCAGCGGTTGCTGTGATCCGAGTCAGACGCAGAAGAGAAAAGCGTACGGAGACGATCCTGATTCTGGGTTGCCATTGTGGGGATCCCGCAAGACTGCGAAGGTACCGAGTCTGAATGACAGAGTTCGTATGACTAGGGAAGCTGAAGGTCTTTGACAGATGACTGTACCGAATGAATTCAATGCGGGGTGTCTGCAGCTGGCCGGTAACACTCTCAGTGCGATATCGATGGTTTCACGAGGACTTTTTCCTGGTCCAATGGAAAGATGACAAAATCGTCCACCAAGCCCGTCTCTCTACAATTGAGCAATGAAGGTAATCGAAGAGCCAGCTGTAGATCTTCGGAACCTGTTACCTACTTTTGTGGCGCCGGTACTACCCCGCCGAAAACGTTAAAGTGTGGAAACGGTGGCGCCAACCACTCTGGACCGCGGAGATGTTCTGGTATCCCTGATTTGTCGGAGGGTCGCCGAGGACAAATGGTCGAATCACCTTGGTGCACGATCGCAATGCAACAGTGTACCACGGATAAAGATGCTTTGGACGTTTACCTCGTACGAGATTGCTCGCCAAGAGCAGAATACACGGACTGTCGCATGCATGCATCCTTCCAACCCAATAGAGCACGACGTCGGCCATCAGGTCCGAGTAATGGTCGCATGGTGCAAGTCGGCGTCCTCGGCATTCACATTTACACTCGCAATGTGCAGTCGGCATGTACCCAAGAGTCAATTGCTCTGATATTTCCTCTAGCTGTAGAGCACTAAAATTTCCTTGCGTTCATTTCCGATTCTACGCCCATTGCTGCACCATAAGAGGTGAGGGAGATTGCTAGAGCTCAAGGCTTCGGCTGCATGCAGCCGAGGCATTACGACACTGCCACTGACACGCCTGTCGGAGAAGCGATTGTGCATACGGGAATAATAGCGTGTTTGTTGAAACCGGTCATTCAACACTATACATCTTGGATAATTTCTCAACTTTCCCTCCTTCCTTTTTTTTCTTATTACATTTTTCACGTTTGCGACTAAATATGGTATCTGAGGCATCAAGATCGCCACCCAGGACATTGACCCCGGAGCCGACTTTCCACCGAAACGCCAACCATGAGATAGATGTGAACGCAAATACACCGGAAAAATTAGAAAATGATGTTTTTGAAGAAGAGAAAGCAGTTGCGCAAGAGAGCGCGACAGCGACTGCATCCTCAAGCTCTTCGACTATGTCACATCACTCTACGAACATGACGCGACAACCACGACCATCGAATACAAGAGAACCACCAACAGACCTGACGAGAACCACATCAGTTGTACCGGATCCTGTGATCGTTCCTCGTTCCCAACGCCGTGGGCTTCTCGCTCGCTTCCCCCTTATTCCCGAAGTTGAAAATCCCCAGCATTACGCCCGACAAACGAAATGGCTACTTACTTTCATTGTTGCTTTTTGTGCCATGGCTGGACCAATGGGCTCTGCAATTGTCATGCCGGTACTCCAAGACATTAGTAAAGCTTTCCGAGCGACCGAGACTGTGACTAACATGTCGGTCGCTGTGTACATGCTAAGCATGGGTATTTTCCCACTATGGTGGAGTTCCTTCTCAGAACGGCTGGGCCGACGAACCATTTACATTACCTCATTTATTTTATTCGTTGTTTTCGGTATACTCTCGGCAGTCAGCACAACAATCCATATGTTGATTGTCTGCCGTGTTCTGTCTGGAGGTGCAGCCGCCTCTGTGCAAGCAGTGGGTGCTGGAACCATCGCAGACATCTGGCACACGAAAGAAAGAGGCGCAGCAATGGGCTTGTTCTACCTCGGTCCACTCTGCGGACCTCTTTTTGCCCCTATTATCGGAGGTGTGCTCGGAGCAGAACTGGGATGGCGAAGCACACAATGGTTTTTAGTTATATATGGAGGTCTCACGGTGATCTTTGTCATCTTCGCCCTACCAGAAACATTACATCGAGAC